GTAAACAGCAGGGGCTGACTCTGTCTTAGTTTCTTCAATCTTCCACCAATCTTTTGTTGATTTTCATTTTCTTCACACATAGACCATCTCCTTAGATTCCCAGGGAGCAGGCCATTTGGTGGAAGAAAGTGGAGTACCTCTAAAGGAATTCAAATAAATTACTTTTTTAGTACTGTCATTTACTTCATTAAAACTTGGCTTTGTCTAAGTCACTATTAGGAAAAAGAATTCTAATACTTCACACATTTCCTATATTTATCCTATAAATACAGTATCTTATTTCCAATGACTCATCTTTGAGAAATAGGTGACATTTTATAGACAGATTAAACCCATGCTCACCAAAGACCAGGATCCTGATTTTAAACTCCCAGACCCCACTAGTTCCCAGCTTTCCCTGCCACCCTTGATTTGACCGGCATCATCTCTAGCCTCTTAACTTTGAGCAAAGGGACCACTAATGACCTTTGTTTCAGAATCTCTTGTTTCAGAGGCCGGTCACTGGCAGCTAATAAAATATAAGTAGAATACTGTTTGATTTTTAAGAATGACAGGCAAAAATGGACACTGATGGCTCTTAACTTTGCTGGATTTCAGTTTAAAAATGGGAAGACATGTTTCTCACCATCTGAAGATCCGCTAACAATGGGGTCTGAATCCCTCATGATTATTATTGTACTCTGATGGTTAGACGCAGAGTAGTGAGTAAGGATCTGGGCCACAGGATGGAAATAAGTGTCACCGTGTGGCCATGCCTCCCCTGGCCCCCTGCAGAAGATGCTCCATTAAGCCAGGAGCCAGCTCAGAGCTCTTTTATCCATTGCTCCAAGGGAGACACAGCTGTCCAGAGTTGACCCTCCAGATAAAACCCATCTGCCACCCCTGAGCTGACAACATGTATAGCCTGGAGTAGAGAGCTCAGCGAACAAACAGGAGTTACAGATTTATAAAGACTAAAAGAGTAAAATGATTTTGCAACTATAGGAAATGATATTTTTAATGAGATAAAGTCAGAGAAGACTTACTGACCTCTTGCAGAATGTCTGAGGGACGATTTAGTAAATGGATGAGGGAAAGGACATTTAGAAAGGGGAATCCTCTCTACCTTGCTCGAGTGTGTTAGATATTCACAGGCCAAATGTCAATGATTGACCATTACTTGCTCTCTGTGTTTGGTCAGTTTGGCGAACAGATCAGTAATTGTGCAGCAAGTCAGCAATCAACAGGTGAGTCTGCATACTGTGTGCTACATAGAGAGTAAAAATCACTAAGCATGAGTATTATTTAATGTTGAATAATGCAGGTGGTACTAGTGGTAAAGAACCTGCCTGCCAATGCAGGAGAACTAAGAGACGATGGTTCAATCCCTGGGTTGGGAAGATCCCCTGGAGGAGGAAATGGCAAGCCACTCCAGTATTCTTGCCTGGAAAACCCCATGGACAGAGAAGCCTGGCAGGCTATAGTCCATGGGGGTCACAAAGAGTCGGACATGACTAAAGTGACTTAGCACAATGCAAACTGCCGATTCAACACAAATGACTCTCCTTTTTAGTGAGGGACATTAATTTCTTTTTCTGTTAAAGCTTGACATCTAATCCCAAATATAAGGCAGCGTGCGTGGCAGTTAAGAACACAGACCCTGGTCTCAGCTCTGCCCTTTATGGCTTTGTGACATTGGGTAAATTACTCCATCTTTTAAAATGAGAAAAATAATACCTACATCATATTGTTATTAAAATTAAATGAATTCATATTTGTACATTGCTTAGAATAATGGCTGGCAAACTACCGTCAGAGCTTATTAAATCAACAAAAAAAATCTCTTCTTAAAAGTGTGTTAATATGGAGTAATTGTAGATATTATCAAGTCTGGTTGAATTGCAATAAATATAATTATTTCTATCATTAAGCTAAAGAAAAACTAAGTAAGACCCAGAAAAATAAAATATCTTGTTTAAGGATCCAATACCTGGCAAAACTGAGATACTTAAATTAATTTACATAGAACACTGCCAAGAAGGAACACACACCAGTTCTCTTGCTTCCCTAATTAAAAAAAAAAAAAGAATCATTAAAAGATACAAGAGATGGGGAAATAGGCTGAGATTCCACCATTTATGCCCTGACAATGTAGGCCAGCACCTGTCTACGTGGCTAGATCAAAGTATATGACCACAGACCCTCCCTTCTGCTGACTCACCCTGCCTCATCAACAGAAACTGGAGGTGAAACAGACACAGGAGGTCCCCACAAGGCCCACCAATTATGCAGGAGCATGACTGACATGAGAGTGATGCTAGCAGGGAGAACCACTGTTTCCTTAGTCCCGGGTAATGGTGCTCAACCCTGCTAATAACTGGATTATTTCTGTGTGCCATGTCACGTCAAAGCAATGGTAGACCAAAAGACCACCTTAGCAACAATTACATTAAATATAATTGCTCTAAGCATACCAAATAAAAGATACTGATCATTAAATTGAACAACAACATAAAAAGCCTTAGACTCAGACATATGTGGTCAAGAGACTCACTTGAAATATCCTAACACAGATAGGTTAAAACTAAAAGGATGGAAAAATGTGTACTAAGCAAACACTAACCAAAAGGAAATTGCGTTATATCTATTCATACTAGACAAAGTGGATTTGAACAAGGAAAATTACAAGAACAAAGAGGCCTCATCACATAGTGATAAGGTGAAAGTACTGAGAAGACATATCATCTTTAATATGTACTCACACACAGAAAAATCAAAACAAAAAAAACATTAAAATACAACTGGAAATAAATACAATGGCAGGGAGAAAAATCCACAGTCATAGTTGGAGGCTTTCAGTTTCCTCTTTGAGCAATAGATCAAGGAGACAAAAAATCAGCACACAGAAGACCACAGAAGTATCAAACAATACCACTCCACTGAAAAACAGCTGAATACACATTCCTTTCAAGTGCACAAGGAACACTTGTCAGGACAGACCACATACTGGGTCATAAAACAACCTTAATATATTTTTTAAAAATTAAGTATTGAAATCATACAAAGTATATTCTCTGATCATAAAGGAATTAATCTAGAAATCAACAACAGAAAAATATCTGGAGAATCTCCAAATTCTTAGAAATTACATATTTCTAAATAATCCATAGGTCAAAGAGCAAGTATCAAAGGAAATTTGAAAAGACTTTAAATTGAGTGAAAATGAAAATAAAACATATCAAATTTGTGATATAAAGCTTAAAGTAGTGCTTAGAAGAAAACATGTCATTAAATGCATGTATTGGGAAAAAAGAGGCCTCAAATGAATACTGATTCCATCTGGGGGAATTAGAAAAGAGCAGCATAAACCAAACTTATAAGAAATAAATAAAGATAAGAGCAAGGGACTCTTGAGAGTCTCATGGAGAGCAAGGAGATCAAATCAGTCTATCTTAAAGGAAATCAACCCTGAATATTCATTGGAAGGACTGACGTTGAAACTGAAGCTCCAATACTTTGGTCACCTGATGCAACGAGCTGACTCACTGGAAAAGATTGATGCTGGAAAAGATTGAGGGCAGGGAAGAAGGCAGCAACAGAGGATGAGATGGTTGGATGGCATCACTGACTCAACAGACATGAGTCTGGGCAAACTCCGGGAGATAGTAAAGGACAGGGAAGCCTGGTGTGCTGCAGTCCATGGGGTCACAAAGAGTCGGATACAACTTAGCAACTGAACAACAAAGCTAAGGGCAGAAAACCATAAAATTGAAAATAGCAAAAAGGTAAAATTGAAAATAGCAAAACAATAGTGAAATCAATAAAACCAGAAGCTGATTCTTGGAAAAATTCACTAAAATTGCTAAACTTCTGAACAGACTGATCAAGAAAATGAGAGCAGAAACATATTATTATATCAGGAGTGAGAGAATGCTACCATTACAGACCCAACACACATTAAAATATTACAAGGGAAACTGTGAATAACTGTAACCACATACATTCAAAAACTTACACGAAATGGAACAATTCCTTGGAAGACACAAACTGCCAAAACTCACAAAGAAGAATAGATACAGTTCTATATCTGTTAAAAAAAGGTGAAGTCATAGTTAAATGGCACAAGTCAGTATGGACTAAGCAAGATAACTAAGACCAACTTGGGGATGCAGAGCTCTTTATTTTTTCCTCTAGTGAGGAACCAACTGGTTCCCAAATCTGAGATTTTTGCTGTTAAGTTTATTTAGGGAAAGGTGCTGAGTAGTAGGCTGAGAACTACAGATTTTGAGCAAATGTCTTGAAATAGGAGACTGATATGATAAATGACTCTAAAGATCTTATTCTCCTTAAGGAGATTATTTTAGCAAATGTGTTATGGAACAGACATCTACTGGGCTTTCCCTGTTAGCTCAGATGGTTAAAAAAAAAAAAATTTGTCTGCAATGCAGACTTGGGTTCGATCCCTGGGTTGGGAAGATCCTTTGGAGAAGAGCATGGCAACCCACTCCAGTATTCTCACCTGGGGAATCCCATGGACAGAGGAGC